TTAGTAATTATTAACATCACAATAGTTTCAGTTGAATGTTACGTACATCGTTTTTGTCTTTTCAATCGGAGACAGCATACCAGTGTAACCAGAATGATTAGGGCACATCCGGTACTTCCCAACGAAGATGAGGAAATAATCACCCAGTCTAAAGAAAGGCCATCTGCAAAGCAGTTTAAAATGGGTAGGCGTAAATGTTAGTACCCATGTATTAGCTTGGGTGGTATTTAGAGAAAAATAAATGAACAAATGTATAAATGCGCCTAAAAGGACCAGCTTTTATTTTATATTTTCATAAAACAAAATACAATTTCATGTCAAAAAAAGCAGATTCCGACTTATTGCCAAATAAAAAAAAAACGAAGAAGAAAAGATGTTAACACTGACATAGCCGCAAAATACTTTCGCAAAATGAACTTAAGGACAATGCCGATACCCTCTTTGTAAATATCCTTTTTAAATTATATTCGGTTTACGTGAACCGTCATTGTAATGTTCGCGCTTTTCTCAGGTTGATGGACAAGGCTGTTTATCGTTTTTTAAATATTTTTTTATAGAAAGTATATGCCACTGTGAAAAGTTCAATTGTTTATTTAGTAGCATGGCGATCATGGGACCTTTGAAAAGGAGGGGCAGATTTATGAAAGGGAGCATATGTTTGAGCCTTCCTTTACTTTAAATTTCGCAGTTATTCAAACATCAATAAGTTTCATAGGCCTATATAGGTGTCGTCATGTTGCAAGTATGTGCGTTTCTCTTAATGATTTGTTTGTTTATTTGGTAACACCTTCTATCCATGTAATCCTTTGCCTTTCTCTTCTCCTGTTACCTTGCATTTTGCTACTCATGATATACCCTGCATTTTGTCCACGCTTGATATCTTGCTCAATACCCTTTACCCAAAGAAGCCAAGTGTCGCCATACCTGCAACGAATTGGACGAGTGAGGGCTCACTACATGTTCCTCTTCCACAGGCGACGAGCCACAGTTGACCTTGCTGAACATCATTGCCTATCACCAACTCCTCACCCGGAATTAAACACGTGTCATTCCGGTGTTTGACCCCAGCAACGCGAATTTCGAGATGAAAACACAAGTCTTTAAAACTGGTAGTTGATTTCACAGATAGAGTGTGCATGCCAGTATTGTAGAAAGCATAAACGCCTGTAAAATATGACAAAACGTTAATATCTTATCTCTTTTTTTTTGTAACGTCATTTGTAGGGTACACTTATAAAAAACACAAATCTGATCTTGTGGGATCAGTTAAGATACATTACATTAATAATTTGCTAATTTGAATATCTCCTTGCAATCGGGAGGATTACAAATTGTTTGCCAAGCTCATCAATTCTCGGTAATAACATAGCATAACTTTTAATCCAAGTCAAAATTATCAAAGTTATTCTGTGGTAGAAGCACAACTGCAAAATCCCCTCTATTTCAGGTCACCTGAGGAAGGGTGCTGTTACTTGCTGCTTCGCGCTGTTGGTTCTTGCATCGAGAACTAGCTCTGTCTGCGACGGGGAAAATTAGGTATTAGGTTAGCGCTGTATAATAAAGAGTACGATGGTGAAGAAAGTTTATAAGCTCAGTATTGCTTTAACTGTAATCGTTCGTCACCATTATGTACAAGCAGGTTCTACATCTGTAAATGTTTTTAAAAAAAATATATAAAATCGGTAGGTATACAAATGTAATTTAACGTAGATCTCAGCGTTAAGGTGTATTTTACTATCACTTCCTAAGGTGTTTTTACATTTTAAACAAATACATATCAGCCATGGTGTGTTGCTGTGATTGTTTTTTCCTCTTCGGCCTCATTGCAGGAAAGAGAATTTTGAATCAGTTAAAACTTGATTTAAATTGAAATTATATCAAAATATATTAACATTAAATATACAATATATTACTACTACCACTACTACTACTACTACTACTACTACTACTGATAATACTACAGTAAACATGATGATGATGATGATGATGACAATGATGATGATGATGATGATGATGATAATGATATTGATAATACAACTAATAATAATACAGATAATACAAAATAACCCCCCCCCCCATTTTTGGACCCTCCGACAGCCATTTTATAGAAAATCAATCTCTAAATAACGTATTTGAATACATGAACAAATGATTTAACATAATAATTCATGATAAGATAAAGGCCTACATAATGATTATCAACCAAAATAATCGATTACTGAAAGCGTAGCATATTAATAATAATTAAAAATATGAAGGAAAAAATTATAATATACTTACCATACTTTTCAGGCGGAGAAGCTAAAAAAGATTTGGGATAAACGAGAAAAAAAAATCAAGTTTAGTAATTTCTTAAGTACGAGTATTCATTATTGTCTTAGATTTATTTACAGAATGGGAAATACACTTAATTTCTAAAGGGATCGGGTCGTCAGTTTCTATGTGTACAAGGCCATATTTTGTTGACACCATTTTTGGTGGAAAAACCATATATGTTTGTATAACTCGGCACATAGCGGACCCTAAGGCCTACCAATGAATACCCCCGTTTTAAAGCAAGGCTTTACATAATGACTATAGATCATACTACAAAAGATAACCCTGGTGATCAACAACACCTATCATTGGGTAAACGCCCGAACGGTGTCGTATTCCCCAAGAGAGCCCACTCATGTGCCTCTACAATGAAACATCTGTACTTTGAACCTTACGACATGTTGATGCTTGCATCTTTGCTGCATCGACGCTCTCTCCCACGAGGTTCACCGTCTTGACTGATATCCAATAAACCGTGAAGGACCTTAGACCCGATATCAAGAAGTGCCTGTCAGTGATGCCTCCAAAACTGGTGCACTGAAGTAACGCTTCGTCGTGACAGTGTGACACCGTAAACGTTAGGTCGGGTACGCTATCCGTAGTCCATTCCCATTGCAACGAAAGGGTGGTCTCGGTAGAAGAGGTGACAGATAGGCGTGACGGACTGAGAGGGAATTCTGAGAATGAAGGAATCGCACAGCATCATGGGAACAAAATAAGAATAGTGACAATAGCTACATTTGTGAAACACACACACACACACACACACAAAGAAACAAATGTTTTCGCAAGCTAATTGTTAGATTTTCAGGTAATTGCTTTAAAAGTTCTTTACTTGCACTAAAACCCTTACATCTAACAGTATCATATTGAACAAGAAATTAGGGGGGGGGGGTCCTTTAGGGCTGGCATGCAGGGAGAACACTAGGCCTATTAGCGGTGGTGTGGTTATGTTGCGTTAATAAGACAACATACACTAAAAGACCGTCTGTACTAGTTTGGAAAGGATGATTATACCTCCCTACAAGGTCACTGACAGGTGGTTATCTCATCAAATCAGCTACCAACAGTCACCGATTAGATAATGTTTGGTATATAGAGGGCGCAAGTACCTAGAAGTAGTGCAGTGGGGATTTAAAATAATTCGGACTTACTATTTCCGGTGAGGCTCACTGTATGCGAGGTTTCGCCGATGCTGTTGACCGCAGAACAGGTATAGTTGCCATACATATGAGCTTTCACGGCATCTGAAACCCACAGGGTACTCCTTGTCAAAGACCCATATTCAGTACGCCAGAGCTCTGCCACGACAGGAATGCCAATTGCGGTATTCTCATCTTGGTCTAGCCATTGTATTGACGAAGGTGGCGGGAGTGCGTTTACCGTGCACGTCAAAATGGCTTCGCTGCCCTCATCTGCGAGGACCGTCTGAGAATGTTCATTTATCCCAGGGGCATCTGTCAAAAGAATTTAGAATAATATCTGTTTTGACAATTTGTTTTACTTTGTTCAATGTGTCGGCCAGCAAGGGGCTTTGTGGTTAATATCTAATAATGTGCGTATAGTAAATGTATACCCCTCCGGCTGCGGAGACGATGGTTTCATTTATCAAGGGTAGAATAAATAATATCAATACAATCATAAGGTGTTAAAGCATTCACGGGATTTCTTTCTACCGGCGGGCCAACGCATTTAATTCACCTGTGTGGAGAGTGACACATGTAGAATGATGTCGTGACGAAACTGTGACAAGGTCTCAAACGCCGAACAGTGTGTTATGTTGGCTATTTCCTTTTATTTATAGGTGAAAATGTTCAAGTAATTGTTTGTATAGGTTAGTGAAATGTATTGATTATCAATTTTTATTATGATTTCGAGTGGCTGCGCTGCATTATAAAATTAGATTCACTGGTCAAATTTTCCTGAAATTCCTTATGGTTTATCAACTAAAATCATCGTAGAGACGTTCGAAGAAATAAAAATAATCAGTTTCAGTAGATCCGTGCATCATCTAATTTAAATTACAAAGACATATAATGTATTCCAAACATGATTCTTAGTCATGGCAATGAGGTGTTGCAATAACGTCTAGCAATCATTAGGTGATTATGATTCATTATGATTAAATTATTATTAAACGTTTGGTTAGTACACACTGAGAATTAGAACATATTTAAATTAGATCAACCATTAGAACAAATGATAAGTAAACGAAATGAGTATTAGACGATATGGAAAAAAACTAAGTGGGTAGTAAATAAACTGGTTGTAGACCAAACGAGAATTTAGTTTGAAATTCCCCTTATATTTAATTTCTCGATGTTCGCCCTACTCAGCACTCCATTGTGATCACTTCCCTTATGGAAATTGGTGCAAGCTTGCCGCGAGCTTGCAGTGCAAGCTTGCAGCAAGCTTGATCTGCGAGCTTGTTTCAAGCTCGCCCGCGAGCTTGTTTCAAGCTCGTTACTAGCTTGCAGGGTTCCAAAAATGCAAATGAGTTATATCTGTCAGCCAATCAAAACAGAGGAAATATATTCTCAGGTCTAACAATCTGCAAGCTTGCAAGCTTGCCTGCGAGCTTGCATGTAAGCTTGCAGCAAGCTTGTTGTGAGCTTGCAAGCTTGCAGATTGTAAGATCTGAAAATATATTTCCTCTGTTTTGATTGGCTGACAGATATAACTCATTTGCATTTTTGGAACCCTGCAAGCTAGTAACGAGCTTGAAACAAGCTCGCGGCAAGCTTGAAACAAGCTCACACAGCAAGCTTGCAGATATTGAATTATATTTGCAGGTCTAAAAATATGCAAGCTTGCGCAAGCTCCCAAGCTTACCTGAGAGCTTGTTGCAAGCTTGCTTCGAGCTTGCATGTAAGCTTGCAGCAAGCTTGTTGCGAGCTTGCAAGCTTGCAGATTGTAAGATCTGAAAATATATTTCCTCTGTTTTGATTGGCTGACAGATATAACTCATTTGCATTTTTGGAACCCTGCAAGCTAGTAATGAGCTTGAAACAAGCTCGCGGCAAGCTTGAAACAAGCTCACACAGCAAGCTTGCAGATATTGAATTATATTTGCAGGTCTAAAAATCTGCAAGCTTGCGCAAGCTCCCAAGCTGGTAAAAAAAGAGAAGCGTGCAATCTTGCAGCGAGCTTGCATGCTTTTGCAAGCTTGCGTGGTAAAAAATCCAAATGGTACCCTCAGCCAATCACAAAATATGCAAGCTTGATGTTACATGTAGCTCGTCGCAAGCTTTCCGCAAGCTTGCTACAAATTAAATGGAATAATAGTAACAGTATGGACAATAACATTGACAGAGATCTACAAAAGATACATCATATATGTATCAACTGGTTTTAATGTTACCTGAGTTTTAAGTACATTTCAATGACATGTAGTGCTGCAGCTAGACTTCTGAATACTTGTACATGTAATAACGACTGTCTAAAAACATTGAAAAAATATAATTCACACTTTTGATATCTCTATAAAAAAAAATTCCCTCTCAAAAATGAAAGAAAATGAAAGGTATTGCCATGGCAAGTCTGGCACAAATTGAATACATAGAAGTGGAGAAAATTTGTTCCCGAAAGACCTGTGGGTGCCATCTTTTTGGGGGAAAAAACACATAGATCTAGGTCTAGTCTAGTCTAGTCTACATAGTATAAAACCTATACCTTTTCACAATTGATGTAAAAACATACACGCACGCACGTCAACACAAACACACACACTCAGAGACACAAACGGGGTTGAACAAAATGCAGATAATGGATTTTGTTGAATCATTTTTTTCTCTTCCACTTTACCTTTGTTACCTGTTTACCGCACACACACACACACCCTCACACACACACATACCCTTAGAATCAGGGTAAAAACTAAAACACACACACATATACAAAGAGGTAGAGAGATAGACTGAGAAATTGCGTCCAGAGCCGTTTCAGATTATACTAGATCTAGAATTGGAAGTTATGGGCCTATATCTAGTCTAGACCTAGTCCTGGTCTAGACCTAGACCAGCTTAAACCAGAGACTATCGCCCACACTGACCCTGTCAAATTCAAAATTGCCCTGACGTCCCCACATCTACAAACTAATACACCCTACCCGTTAAGTTAAAACTCAGACGAGTATCTTGGAGGACCAACCGACCAAGTACCAAGTAGGCTACCTACTAGTACTACCTAGTCTAGCTAGTTTAACTAACATTTTTTTGGTGATGTGGGACTGAGTCTGAGTTTTACATTAGGTCTATTTAATGAAAAATTATCAAATTATTACAATTTTCCTGTTTTATTTTCATTTTAATATGCTTTCCAGAGATTTATATGTTAAATGTTGTTGTGAATTATTATAATGTAAGTGCAATATCTCACAAGTACTTACCATTTTGAAGTTGATTCACACTTGACCAGTTCACAAAATGTTCAACAAAACTTTGAACCAACCACAAAAAATGAACTATCTTGGAATGGCCAATAGAGGGCGCGTGACATTTTTCTGATTAGGATCTTGTTGGCACTGGGAGTGTTATCTTTGGAAGTCAATAACTTTTTAGTAAGAGAAGTAATGAATATAAAATTTTCACAGTGTAATAAATGAATATAAATGCATTTTTTACAGTAATTCTTTAGGATTTTCATTGTTTCCTCTTTTTTTACAGATACGAACAAAAAGTGATAAATTATGATTTTAGTGAAAAAAGTCAAAAAATTACATTTTAAACCCTAAAAAAAGGTTCAAAATATCATCAAATATTATAAATATTCATATCATGTGATAGATAATTTCATTACTTTCATTAGACACAATATTCATTAAAATTGAGGCTCTTTTTAACAAATGACATGTAAAAAACAACTGTTAGGCGAAATCAGGGTCAAATAAAGGTCATTGACCTCTGAAATCAGGCTCCACCACCCACAACACACAAGACATCACTTTTCAGACATGTCTTAGGATGTTTTATCCAAAAATTAAAACAAAACACTTGGTCTTTTTTGTCAATTAAAGAAATTCAAGCAGACTATTGGACTATTAGTTTTGCTTTTGTTTAAGAATATAGTTTTTGAATCAAATCGTTTTCCGGCTAGATTTTAGCAAGGTTTGATTAAACGCTCATTTAAATTATATATTTTGTTTCAACCATTTTTGTTGACTCTTGCCTGGTCTCTCGTAAATCACAGTGAAAAAGGAAATCATTTTTAGAGTGTTGGATGGTGTACCTTTTTGTACAGTGAAAAGTGAGTCATGATGCGATATTTAATGTTTGTTTTATGATCATCCATCTTTAATCCTTTTTCAAAGGTATAATGCGCTATAAGAACTGTACTATTATTATTATATGTGTATAAAGATCCCCTATTTTATACCTCATTAGCAAAGAATCAAAGGTTTTGAGATAATTATTGAACAATTTAATTGTGCATATAAACTTTTGTGCTGTATGTTTACAGTGACAATAATTTGGTCATAGATGGGGTTTGTCCATAGCAGTCTGACATAAGTTTGCGGCAAGCTTGGTAGGGCTTTAGATTGCACCCCAGCAAGCTCCGCAAGCTTGCTGCAAGCTTGCAGGGCATACACTGTCGGCCTGCAAGATTGCCAGGGCTTTAGATTGCGCTCCTGCAAGCTTGCAGGGATATCCTCTTTGTCTGCAAGCTTGCAAGAGCTTTAGTTTGCGCCCCTGCAATGTCCGCAAGCTTGCTGCAAGCTTGCAGGGCATACACTGTCGGCCTGCAAGATTGCCAGGGCTTTAGATTGCGCTCCTGCAAGCTTGCAGGGATATCCTCTTTGTCTGCAAGCTTGCAAGAGCTTTAGTTTGCGCCCCTGCGATGTCCGCAAGCTTGCTGCAAGCTTGCAGGGCATACACTGTCGGCCTGTAAGATTGCAAGGGCTTTAGATTGCACCCCTGCAAGCTTGCAGGGATATCTTCTTGGCCTGCAAGCTTGCAGCAAGCTTGCATGAATATCTCTCTTTGCCTGCAAGCTTGCAGCAAGATTGCTGTAAGATTGCGCGCAAGTTTTGCAAGCTTAAATTTGTAATGCAATCTTATTAAGCTTGCCGCAAGCTTCTAACAAGCTTGTAACAAGCTTGCCGCAAGCTTAAGTTTCTGTAAGGGTTATTTAAATGTGTGCGCGGTACCGATTAAAAGCAAAGAATACAACTGACAACACTCACAAAATACAATTGGCTCTTCCAGATGTGTGATCGGAAACCCGAGCCCATTGGCAGCTCGGCACTCGTATAGTCCCGAGTCATTCCGATGAGGCGCTCCGAATCGAATTGAAGCCGAACCTGTCCCATCTGCCACATGAGCGCAAGAGGTGTTGCCCGTAACCTTACACCATGTAACGTTAGGCTGAGGAAACCCGTCAGCAGAACACGTGATAGACTGGCTTTGGTTCAATCCTTCAATCAAGGGTCCATCGTGCGACCGGGAAAGGCTCAATTTTCTGGGAGAATCTGCAATATTTTTCCAAGGGAGTGTTTCACAAAGACTAAGATCGACTTTTAGTTGGACTTAACTAGTGCCGGTCCCCAAAAGGAAAACGAATCCTGGTCACACATTTTACAGAATTTATATTTGTTGATAGTTAATTATTGAGGGAAAAAAATATTATCTAAATATCATAATGGTAAGAGCAACAAGTGGCATGAATGGCCAGCCATAATTAAGTCCAACTTCGATTTAAGTCTTTGTGAAACATTCTTGAACAACACGAATACAATCATTTAGGCGCACGAAAAATTTATTGTCGATCCTCCGAAAGTCATAATGAAATTTTGGCCAATTAAATCGTAATAACCCATTTTCATCATTAAAATCATGATCATCAAAAATTGCGATCCTGATGGAAGATACATTTGATTCATAACAAAAAAGGCATGTTAAATCTTATATTTCAATGGGCGTCGGGGAAGGGGGAGAGGGGGGGGGGGGCTTACATTGCAATCGACTTTCGCAAACATCTGAACACTCAACGTTCCCACATGCGTTGATATTTTCCGTGCAACATTTGGCGGCAACACGATAATCACTCTCGTTCCCGGTTTGCAGTTTGAATACCTCAACATTCAATCCCATCCCGTCCGTAGATGGCGCTGTAGAGACTGGTAAGAATGTGCCTTTGGTAGAATTCTCTCGGTAGATGGTCAATCGCTTTACCATTACCATGGCCGAAATGGTGTCATTGTACAGCCGACATGTAATGTCAATGGGGACACTCTCCACTATGTACCGAGAACAAGCATCCTGGATCACAGTATGAACGCACCCTGGAGATAATGAGAGTGAAATCCAATAATTAAAGTTCAACAACGAAATTCATTATAATCATTGCAATGCCAATCATTCTATTGTAACATAAAAATAGCAATGATATGTTGATTAAAGAGGGAAACGATGATCATCGATATTGTTCTAATACTGTTTCAATTCTCTAAAGAAGTCGAGTGGCTCTTAATTAAAATAGATCAATTAACCTTGATATATGTGTATACAATAAAATCAAGATTCCAATAGCCTATTAAGAAGGTATTATATTGCAACGTGTTGCTTGATGCATTATCATACCCATTTAAAATTATTTTCCATACAATAAAAATGCTTGCCTTGGACTTCGGTTATGAAACTTGCTCTGAGTGTGTTCGCGAGGCTCGGCTGAGAAACAATACAGACCAGCTCCTTATCATGAACAGCAGGCCCTCCCCTCACTTGAATAGAGCGGAAAGCTGTACTTAAGTTGCCTAATCTGTCAAAGTCAGTTTCGCTTTCGCTAATAATGACTCCTTTTGCAGTTCTCCACGCAACGGATGCGTCGGGTTTGGTTGGCTTGCTGACGGAGCAAACGAATTCCTTAATCGTGTTCATCTGGATCCTGACCGCACCATTGTTGCCTATTCCATCATTACTGGGGCTCTCTCGCAGGCTTACTCCAACCGCTGGAACTAATAATAACATAGCAATGTGTCTTGGTTACCCTGGGTAGCTGTACCAGTATTAATACTACCCCCCCCCGTATTATTCTAATACACCTTGCTTTAGCCGAGCTACCGTGAAAAGGAGCTCAGCATTCTACAGTCTGGCGACGTATTCAATAGACCACGACATCTCTACGACAAATGCGAAATAAATATAAATAACCCTCTAATCTAATTTGCCACCAGCATCATTATGCCTGCAGTTTGTGAATACTAAGCCGATTGGCGGGCGTTTGGTGGTAGTGCAACGGTTAATTACGTTTCTTAAAACGTCAATAACATGTTTCATTGCAAAATATGTTTGTTTCCCTATTATGAACGTATTTTATGCACCGACTGGCGTTAAGACCAGCAACATATTAAAGCAATGTGAACATAAGATGAAGAACTAGCTAGGCATATCTTGCATGCTCTCTTTTAAATGTAAAAACTAATGAAATACGATACGTTCTGCAGTTTATTAAACGCCTGTAAAATTACTCAAATAATACAAGAATAAGGGTGAGTTGTTTTACCAACCATTTACTATGAGTTGATGTTGTTTTTACTAACCATTTACTATCAGTTGATTTTGTTTTTACTAACCATTTACTATGAGTTGATCATGTGTTTACTAACCA